TTTGATTTGAAATTTGTGGCACAGATGGCGGCTACAGAGAATAATATAACATTCTCTTAAAAATATGAACACCTAAAAAGCAGTTACAGGCGGTACTCTAGGGTGCCTCACCAGTGGGGACAATGTATCTTAATTTGCGACAGTCGTTTGAGCCACAATTACAAACCAAACCCTGCCCCGTTTGTCCACATTTCAACTAATCAAAGTCCGAACTGTTCCAAAGGGAAATGCTTTCATTTAAAATGCTAACAAAAACTGCCAGCCCAGCTAGCCAAAGACACACAAAGAGTAGAGATGGAGAACAAGTACACTATTTATAACAATTTTATGAATTTTTCTGCCTCTGTGGTCGCAAACGGCGGAGGAGACACCCACTCGATGGGTGATGCCTGATGGGCGATGGGCGATGGGGTGTGTGTGTGTGCTGATTGGAAGCGGATGGGAGGAGGAGCTACTACCAATTTGCATATTCAATTGCTAGAGTGGCAGTAGGAGACAGGAGAGGAGACACAAGAGGAGACACAGAGACTGTGTAGAGTAGTACGGGTATTATTGGTAGACAGCCTCCCCGAATGACAACTGACTTGATTAGAGTGGAAGACTGGCGACTTCCTAATGGACAGAGTGCTCTCCTACATAACAAATATCCTGAAATAGTACTAGCACGAGTACGGGTAGTAGTACCTGTCCATAGCACAACTTATCCTGTCCCGTCATGGGGCATGGTCTGGCCACAACCTCCAGCACAATTTTGTTTTGGCGTTAATTAGCATTGCCTGATTGCTGCCAGCTGCATGCTGCCAGCCAACAACAACATCCTACAAAACAGCAATATAATCGAAGCGGAATGCCACCAGAATGGGCAACAGGAATAGCATTTGACAACAATTCAATTATCGCATTAATTGATTTGCCTTTTGGTATTTGCCTACCGCGTGCTGCAAGACCACACAGATTTGATGAGAATTTTGGTGAATATAAATCAATAATGGGTATTCCTGATTTTGGCTTTGGAACTAGCCAGGTTAAGAGCGTATCAACGAAAGATGAACTTAATAAAGCCATTGCTATTTGCCACTATCATTCAATTCACTTAAGCAACTCCCCTAACTTAGTTGATTGCCAGCAAAGCAGTTCTTAAAACCCACATCATAAAAACATCCTTCAGTTTAAGGCCATTCAAATTAACATCATTGACAAAATGAGCAGTTGAATGTTGAATGGGGCGGGGCTACGGCTACATTGACTAATTCAAGACACCTGCTTCCCATTTAATACCGTGAAATACACGAAATCCGTATCTCAGACGCGCAATGCGAACAATCAAAGCCGTATCGAAAATTTGTTTACCGAGAGAGATGCGAGACGACACAGACAAAGACACACGCAATAGTAGGACGCGACACATACAAAGGCGTAGGAGTACAATCTCTCTCTCTCTCTCTCGCTCTTTCTCTCTGTGGCATGGGGTTGTATTGGGGATAATGGTGTGTGCTGTGTGCTGTGTGTGTGTGTGGTGGGTCTTCCATGTGTTGCTGATAATGTTTGTGCTGTCAGTTGTTGTTGCTGCTGCTGTTGCTGTTGCACATGACATTCAATTGCCACAAATCAAGATACGGCTATGTGGGGAGAAAGAAAAGCGAGCAAAACGAGCCAAAAGCCACACAGTCTGTCTAAGGGATACGATTTTCGGGCGGGTGGCGGTGGGCACTGGCAGCAAGAAGGATACTCTACTCGTACGCGTACGAGTGCGAGTGAGTGTATGTGTGGGTGGGTGGGTGTATTATAGTACTCTCCCTACCTCGCCTACGCATTCTCTTGGAGGCACGTGCCAAGCGTTGCGTTGCGTTGCGTTGTGGAGACGTCTCCCGATTTTGGCTTTTACAAATGACAAGCCCAGTTTGTGCCACACATTTGAATGCTTTGTGCCTGTCGCTGTGTCGCTGTGTTGTGGTGTGTGGCATGCTGCATTGTATTTTAATGTTCCTGCCGTTGTGTTATCATAAAATAAAATTTGCCGCTGCGTACGATTACTTGTATTCGTTCGTGTTTGCAATGCAGGAGAGGGAAGGAAAGACGAATGGACGGGAAAAGCCCAACATGGGCATGGCATCATGGCATGCAGTTGTGCTTTTGACTTTTAAAATGGGTTTAAATTTAAATGGATTACTGCCCTGGCAGAAGCCACGCCATTCCATGTCATGAGAGGGTTTCAATAGAGATAGGGTTACACAGATACAGATACAGATCTGAGCGGAGTATCAATCCATCCTGTTATCCAAGTCCAATTATATGCCCTCTCCATATAAGCTCGTATAGAAAGGAGGCGGAACAAGCAATGAAATGCTAAAATGAAATGCGTTTCAATGCAATACAAAATAGAGAAAATAATACAACACTCTGACTGTGACTCTGCCTCTATCTCTGCCGATAGATGAGTAAAAATACATGAAATGTTTTTGTTTTGCCATGGCATCCTGTAAATGTTGCACATGCAGCATCCGCCTCGCTTGTGGTGATGGGGGGTAGGGGGGGAATCACTCTGCTGCCTCTGATGAAGCGCAAATGTTTTCTCTTGCTATTATTTATAGACTAATTCATTTTGTGCGGCAATTGAGCAGAGTTTTTCGGCTTCTCTTTTCATTTGAGGTATTGGCCCTATGCCGATTGTATGAAAAATAAACATTGGGCCATAACACGACAGACACACACGTACACTGTACACTGTACACTGTCTGACCCAAGCCATATGTTGTTGTTCGTATTCGCATTCGCATTCGAGATATAGCTAAAAGTTAAATAGCCCGTGCGGACCATAAACTAGGCGAAATGAAAAACTCTAATGAAAGTCATAAAAGTATAAAAGATATACGAGTAAATATATACATACCTACATATATGTATATGCAGATATTTATACACAAAGTGGGGGACAGAAAATTTCATTAAAAAAAAAAAAGCGAAGAAAACGGCGCCAAGTTTGCACATAAAGTTTGTTTTTACGCTAAACGTGTGAAGAATTCGCACCCCTCGAGTGGCTCGAGCCTTTGGGCCAACAACACACAGTACCAGGGCTTAGAATATTTAATGTTTTTCCCGGGGGCTCGCTCGCTCGCTCTTCTTTGGGAGCGTCTATGTACTATAAAAGATGTACTATAATGAAAACTGGAGATCATAAAACATATGCAAATGGCGTGGGAGAAGCAGACCCAGAGCCATTCGCAATTGCAGCTCCGCCAACATTTCTCTTTCCCATGCACCGAACCATGGTAGCCCAAGTCGAGTCGAGTAGAGTCGAGTCGAGTCTCGCAGGTCAGCCGCCTCGAAACAAAGCTGGGAAAATGTTTGTCTCTCTTTCGTGCTATCGTGCTGCGGAAAGCATTCCGTAAATGCATTTCCCATGCACTGGCTGGGAGCAGCAGCAGTCAGCTCAAAAAAGCCAGAAGTTACGCTATAGAAGCAAATAAATGCCTTTGTACAGCGGAACAGAAAGAACAGAAAACAGCAAGAGTAAACCAGCAAACCTCTTGGAATAACTCGGAAGATAAGTTACAATATTTAATTAAATGAAGAAGATCATCATTCAGACGTAATCATTCTGCTTCCTCGGCATACCTTCCAAATCTCTTCTCGGTTTCTCACACACTACTCAGTACTCGAAGAAAAGTACCTGCAGAGTCTCTCAGTTGCTTTATGATCATCTCGCGTGTGCTGCCCAATTCCATCGTCACTTTCTTTTAATATGTTTATTCCGCTTTGCCTATCACACAGTTTCGGTTGTAACAATGCCCCTGAGCGCCCTTGAGCATTGATGCTGTTCTGCCAGCAATTGTTTGGAGTGGTTTTAGTTTCATTTTGTGATTATGGAAATGTCTCTAATGAGATTCAGTAAAATGTGAAAAGAACAAATGGAAAATACCATCATAAAAAACAAAGCAGTAAAATTTGTTGAATATAATAATAAAGAAATTGAATATTTTCTCTCTACCCCAAAAATGGAATTCTCCAAAAGGGGGGTGGGGTGGGAGGGTTAGTTCCATAATAACATTTTCCATGTCCTTGCTCGTTAAAAACTCTGCTCCTTTTTGGCATAACCGTCGAGGCCTTAGTCGCGACAAAATGCAACAACGAGAAAAACTAAAAAAAAAGTTGTAGTTGCACTATGGAAAAATGGGAAAAAGAACAATGGGGAAAAAGGGCTTCAAAGGGATGGATGAGATGCAGTGCTGAAAAGTGAACCGACGCGACGGTTGGCTGGTGGCTGGTGGCTGGTGGCACAGGACGACGACGACCCAGCCAGTAGCCGATGCCAAACAAATGCTAATGAAAAGAGGCAGAAGCAGCGGCAGCAGCAGCAGCAGCAGAAGAAAAAGATCCACAAACACTCAAGAGAGCTCTCTTTTTTATGGCCCTTGCCACTGTTTCCATTTTCTATTTTCCGTTTTCCACTAGTCTGCTAAATTAATAATAGAAAGTAACGAAGGAAAGGCGCTACGAGTGTATAATTAATTAAATAATAAGCTAGCGCCCACCCATGGCGAATATTCCATTCCCTGAATCCGAACGGACTTTTTACTCTTTAAGTTTGCTGTTCATTTAATATGCATGATCTTGTTGTTCGGCAGCAATGTTACAATGCAGCTCGTTACGATTTCATGGACTGCACAAATTTGGGAATCCCCGCAACCAAACCCAAAAAAATCATTTGTAATATTTTCCATTCCCCCGTGCAAGTGCTGCTGCAGCTGCAGCTGCCAGTGCTGCTGCATGTGGCAGCATAATTAAAACTCTGTGTTTTCGCATGTTTCGGCAAATGCCGAAACTATGGACAAAAGTCCATAATGCTGCGTTTTGCAAAAACCAAACTATGCTACGGCAAACGCATAATTAATGCATTAAGAAGAAGCTGCATGCCAAATTGTGGGGCGGTCGCAAGGCTTAATTTATATGTGTTGTTTAGTTGGGCTTATGTAGCCACAGTTTTCAGTATCAGTTCTTACCAAATTGTGCACTGACATGACCCACAAATGCCAGGCAGAGTAGCAGCAGCAGTTGCAGTGGCGTCGTTGGGTGTGATGGGTGTGAGGGGCGTTGAGGCGTGGGCGTTCGACCCGGCGACTTCTTGGGGATGCCGCCGCTATGTGGCGAGCGTCTCAGCAACATGTTTCCAGTGTTACAGACAGTTGTGGCGCCAGTGTTGTTCTGTTGCTGTTGCTGTTGTTGTGTTAGCCGAGAGTATTAAACACCTGCTTACGGATTTGTCCTCACTCACGAGCATTCAATATCTGTGCAGGGGGGCGGAGTGTGGGGGTGGGTGTGTCGGTCGAGTCGAGTCGCTTCTTTCGTTTCACAATTTCTGGTTTCTCCCTTTTGCTGTTTCGATGTCAGTTTTGTATTTCAATTTTCAGCCGCCGCTGCCGCTCGCTTTGGCATTTAGTTGATTTCTTTTTGCGTTTGCTTTTACAATATCATTTCCTTTGTTTCACATTGATTTTTCACTTGTATTTTATTTTATTTTCTTTTTTATTATTTATTTTCTATGATTTTGTTGGTGTCGTATTTCAATCATTGAACATTTAGCACTTGGGTCTGCAAAGAAATCAGAGAAAGAATAATATAAAGATTAATATAAAACAGAGAGCCAAAATCATCTAAAGTTTCCATGGAAATGGAAATAAATGTTCCCATTGGACTATATTTTATTTCTCTTTAAATTCAGCTTAAATAATTATAATGCTTTGCAAATGAATGTTTCGAGTTCTATTTGATGTTCTCATTCCACACACATTCTATCCTTAAAGACATTCGTGCATTGTAATTGAAACCAATTCGCGTTTGAAGCAAGCTCACGTATCCATTACTGATTAAATTTTCCAGTTTCGCGGAACCAGAGGCGGAGCTGATATATTTTGTTATGCTCGCGGATGATTGAATAACAATTTAGAGTGTAAAAAGCCAATTCTAAAGCCAATTAATGTTACCCTTGGGTATTGAAAAGTTAGACGCAACGAAAGCCAACTGCTTTCAACGAAAGATTCTCAATCTCAATTTTGGTTTATTTGATTTTGGCTCGGACACACAAATACACAAAAACAAACAATATTGATGCGATGCTGGTCAAAATCAGGCCAAACATTGTATTAGTTCTTTCCGGCGCAATTTCCTAAAAGTATGCTCCACAATATTTTGTAATTTCTTTCGCTTCTTGTTGTGTTTGTGTTTGTGTTTGTCCAGCAAACTCTTGACTATTGGTGAGGGGGGGATGTGAGGAAAACGGCAACGGCAATGGCGATTTGTGTATTTTCGAGGCCACTCCGATATTGATTCCAATTTGTGGGTGCATGGGGCACAGCGTTGAGGCACAGGCACAGCCCCGAAGGCCATCCCGCCGCCATATGCCCACTGTTTGCTTGCCGTTTGCTCTCTCTGCCAAAAGCGAACGAAGCGGGAAAAATAAATAAATCCCCTAGTATATGTATAGAGCAGGCGGGCGGGACCAACAAACACTGAATAGTATTAACAAATACTAAGCCGAAATTCTGTTTTCCAATGAAAACGTGACTAGATGGGGGCCCCCACTGAAAACCGCATGAAAATATTTATGTATGCCATCGCAAAGATAAATTTATATGTATTTTCCCATATACTCGAATAGATATTGGCATATGTATATGTATAATACTTGACCAATATTTGGCACCCCACTCCACCACACCCCACCCCCCCCCCACTATGCCACATTTTCCACACATTTTGTCTACTCGCCCACATATGTACAGCGCCTGCTCTGGGATAAAATTATATGAGAATGCGTACGAGATCTTTGCTGAACAAGGATATGTTCGGTACTTTATGGATAATTTTCCAAACACCAAAAAGTATATCAACAGAATATATGGGAAAACCTCAATATTCCAAGCCATGGCTCTCTGCACAATTGAATATCGAGAAAATATGAGACAACAACACCGAACTGCGTACGGGAAGGCAGGAAGAAAATCAACTTAATAATCTTAAAGCCATTCAGTTTAAATGGCTGTCAGAATGGACTGCCATCAAGAGGGAGCATCAACAATGTCTAGCTTACTAACTATCAGTCCATTTCCCATGCACAGTATCCCTTATTCCCCCCCATAAGCACCTCCCTTGGGGGCCACAGCCACCTCAAGGATCTGTTTCCGTGCGGACATTCTTGATTGACAGCAGCTTTTTCTGCTGGGAGGCCATTAATCAGCTTAAGCAGCCGGCGCGTGCGAAATTAAAATATGGCCAAAGTGAGGCACCGGAATCGGGAGCTTGATGGCCAAATCAAGTGGCATCAGGTAGCACAATATATATCTTAACAAATACGAGTATATAGCTTTTAGCATACCGAAGATGCTGCCATAGGACTTTTTCTTTTTATGAGGAAAATAAAGTTTGCACTAAACATTCTTTAGGTAAATTTCGTAGCTCCTTTTACGCTTTCCGAGTGTCTAATTTTTGCCACGTAATTTATCTCTTTCTCTCTCTGTGTGCTCGGACACACACACACACAAAGAGGTGTGTGTTTGTTGGTTCATTTATTCTCATCTCTCATCTCATCTACGAGACATTTCTCGTTTTTGCTACCTTTCTCTACCGACCGTTCTTTTTGGATCTCTGCATGCATTGCGTCCGATTCGTGTGGGCCTTGTGGCCATTCAACTGTGAGAGAGACAAAAAACCAACGGGAAAACAACACATAAAAAATTATTCCTGTTTCTTTTCGTTTCTTGGCCCTGGCGACTCGACTTTTTGCTCACACATGAGATATGCGATTATTGTCGGCGTATGCCTTTGTATGCACATAGCAAAATGATCTAAGGAACAAACGCTTACACTGACACATCCTCTCTCACACATCTAGAGTCTTGTACACCGACCGACAATTGTGGGAAATTAGGCAGAAACATAGTTAATGCGATTTTCTTGATGAGATATCGTTTAATGGGCTTTTCTGTTTATATTTGCCGAGTCTCTTGCTTTCACATTTCCTCTCTGACATTAAGCCAGAGTGTCGGAAAGAATATCTACCATACCCGACCATAACTTTTACTCGTCCTCTTTTTATCGATTCGGATGTGGTAAGAGATGAGCTTCGTACGTAAATATATTCGACTAATGTACTCGTAGATTTCTCCACGTTATTCCCAGCACTTGAATGCGATTCCGGGTTACTACTTCAAAGGGAATTTCGTTGGTTCATAAAACCAATTAAAGGCAGTTAAGATATTTGTGTGGGAAGTCTTTCTCCTAGACAGCTTTCTCCCGTAAACGACTCATTAGAGTGGCATAAAATGTCTTGGGAAATCAAACGAGAAAAAAAAGGAAATCCTCTTCCCGGACTTGCTGCAGTGTTTAGCAATTTTTTGCAAGCTTTCAGCTTTTAGTTAATGAATCGCGAATACACAACTTTAACCTGAAACAATAAATATTCTGCGAATTATGCGTATGGAGGAGGTTTTCAACGACTTGTCGACACGTGAGAGCCGCATTAAATAATTTCCAGGTGGCATCATATGCGGGTCGGGTCGGGTCGTTTTCATCATTCACAGGGACGAAAGCGGTTGGGACCTTTCACAATTAAAGTGTTGGAGTGAGGGGGGGAGTGAGAGTGAGAGGCGAGTGAAAATATATCATGACTGGCCACACTTTTCACTGTGTAGTGTGGAAAACGGAGGCTAAACCAAGATTGGATGGACGGACGCCTCTGCCACTTCTCTTCCTCTCTGTGGGCTGCCGTGCAGAGACAAACCCATAAAAATGTCACAATTCATCAACGACGCTAAGTAGTTTCATGTTTTTTGCTTCTTGTTTTTTTTTGTTCTAACGTCATGAGGAGAGTGGCTACAAATTTGTTGAGCTTTTAGCGTGACCTCAGTGAGCTTTTGTTTCCTCTTTTTTTTGGTTTTGTTTTAAGACTCCACTCCTGCATGGGAAAAAGGCCAACAACTTTTCCCCTGAAGCATGCAGCATACGAGTGTCTGTATGTATTTGCCAAGAGTAGATATAATCGTTTGAACTTTAATGGAGCAATGTCCTGACAACGTCATCATCATCATCAGCAGCAGCAGCAGGAGCCACAGAAGCAGCCCCTACCACCAACCATGGAAACTTATTATCAAAACAGCAATCAACAACTTTTAATAATTTTCCATAGATGCCAAAACAGAATGGCGACGCGTCGTTACGCTGCACACTCGTGATGGAAAAAATAAATAATCTTTTTTATCGATGCGTGGACCCACTGCGACTAACTATAAAAAGCGAAAAAATGAAAATGTAAAAAACGCAGGAAACAAATGGGATATGGGAAATGGAATTTGCGGATAAAATTTATACGCTGAATATGTCACAAAAGCTTTTAAACAATTTTCACCCAGCTTTTTTGCTCACTGTGGTACGAGTATCTTGTCTTATTTTCCTCCATTCTATTTTGTATTCTCTCTTTTATTTTAAATGCATTTATATCTATTTTTGTTTTATTCTGGCGAAAAGCTCATGCATTTCAGTTTTTATATTGTTTACGCTATTGGAACTTTTCAGTTCTTGTCGGTTTTTGGTTATTTTTGCGCTCGTTTTGGGGAACTGCGTGTGCGAATCCCACAACAAAGTTGCCTCAGCTCTGCTCTGTGTGGGAGCACGAGTGAGTGTGTCTGGTGGTCTCAACGAGAGACGAGAGACCAGAGACCAGACACCATAGAGAGAAAGAGAGAGAGAGGATAGACATGGCAAAAGTGAAATGGTTATCGCGCTTGTTTGATTTAATTTATTGGCTTAGCGCCATTGTGGCCTGATGTGCAACACTTTACACAACACTTTTTTTCACCCCTCTCCAGCCACGGCTACAGTTGGTGCCACTGCCACTGCTGGTGGTGGCTGGTGGTGTCTGTTGGCCAAAGGGGCAAGGACGATCCCAGTGGAGTGGCTTTTTGGGGATTGGGGGCTGGCGCTGCCGCTGCCCGACAGGCAAGCAGCGTTCGCTTCCAGTCAATCTACTCGGTCTGCCGACTTTATACCCATAGTGGTTGCATGTCGTTGAGTTTTTATATGATTATTCTTTTCATTTTTTCCGCCCGTTTTTTCTCTGTGTTTTCCTTCTCTGATAAGAGCTGCTGATTGCTGGCTTGTCTTGTGGGGAAGCAACTCCGTGTTCGGTTGTGTGTGTGTGAGGTTCGGTGCGGGAAAATGTGTTGTGGTCTTGTGGTTTTGGTCGGACATTGATGACAGAACTCAATTTATTCAAATATTGTATGGTGGTGGTTGCCACCCACAAACTGATTGTCCGGCCCCATTCCTTTCCGCAGAAAAATCTGCTAATAAGAAATTGAAAATGTAATAAATGTACGACATTTCCCGTTTCCCCATCCGCATCTGAGTTCTGGCTTGATGGTGGTTAATTTCCAATTTGTCCCCATAAAACAATGCTCGAAAAGCGCACTTGACAAGGGTTTTGCACCCTGTTTGGCTAACCTTCGTGAGCATTTGAAAACAAAAACATGGCTTTTTTGGGGAAGGAAATATCGCCACAGACTGGCTAACAACTTCAGCCCAAAAATATATTAAAT